TCGCTCACTCGTATATTTACAAGAGACACCTACGAGTTCACACTGGAGAAAAGCCATACCAGTGTGAACACTGCAAAAGGGCTTTCAGTTGCTTAAATAATTACAAGAGACACCTGCGTGTCCACACTGGAGAGAAACCATTCCAGTGTGACCAGTGTGAAGAGAGTTTCACTTGGTTAAGTACTTACAAGGACCATCAGCGAGTCCACACCGGAGAGAAGCCGTACCAGTGTGACCAATGTGGAAACAGCTTCACTCGGTTAAGTAGTTACAAGGACCATCAGCGTGTCCACACTGGTGAAAAACCATACCAGTGTGATCAGTGTGAAAAGGCTTTCAGTCGCTTAAGTCATTACAAGAGACACCAGCTTAACCATACTGGAGTGAAACCGCATGGGTGTGAAAAATGTGAGAAGAGTTTCTTTTCTTTAAGGGATTACAAGAGACACCAGCGTGTGCACACTGGAGAAAAGCCATACCAGTGTGAACAATGTGGAAACAGCTTCAGTTTGTTGAGTAGTTACAAGGACCACCAACGTGTCCATACTGGAGAGAAGCCATACTGCTGTGAACAGTGTGGGAAGAGTTTTCGTTTCTTAAGTGATTATAAGAAACACCTGCGTGTCCACACTGGAGAAAAGCCGTACCGCTGTGAACAATGTGGGAATAGTTTCAGTTGCCCAAGTCACTACAAGAGACACCTGCGTATCCACACTGGGGAGAAGCCTTACCATTGTGAACAATGTGGGAAGAGTTTCCGTTTCGTAAATGTTTACAAGAAACACCTGCGTGTCCACACTGGAGAGAAACCATACAGCTGTGAAGAATGTGGGAAGAGTTTTAGTTGCCCAAATTACTACAAGACACACCTGCGTATACACACTGGGGAGAAGCCATACCCATGTGAGCAATGTGGGAAGAGTTTCCGTGTCTTAAGTGAATGCAAGAAACATCTGCGAGTCCACACTGGAGAGAAACCATACTGGTGTTCTCGATGTAAAAGATTGTTTGCTTGGCCAAGTTCTTTGAAGCTACATCGTTGTGTTGATGTAGATGAGAGCTCTGACTGAATGTAGGAGTGATAACAAAACAGCTCTGACAATAGTGGTGGATTCTGTCACTCCCATACTGTATTCAGATTGCCTACCTGTCTCATTGATAACAGCCTAACAGCTATATTAAGTTGAATAAGCGCTGTATAATCCCCCTGCCACTGCTTCATAGCATTCAACACGGGGTAGCTTTTATTGTAAAGCAGCCACAGGAAACCCAGTGTGTTGTCATCACTGTTAGCACTAATTGAGGTTGAAAAGAGGCCATATCATAATATACTAATTTTCAGGTTCATACTCTTGTTTTGGGGGGGTCCACTGTAATAGGTTTATGTGCTTTAATCTTCAAAAAACACATTATTTCCTTAGCACCTCTTGTCTACATATACACTAAACCCCAAATTGCCCTCATTGGTCAGGCCAGCACCTTGCATGGTAGCCTGCTGCCATCGCTGTGTTGCTATTTAAATGAAGCTCATTGTCATTTATTTAATCAACTTGAGTTTGCTTGATTGTACAGTAAATAGATCTACCAGTTGCTCTAAAAAGCTTACACCTTACAACTTTAAACTATTAATTGTCAAAGATATTTGTTCAAACAAAATTGAAATGATGTACTTCTGTGTTCACAATGTTAAACTGCCATAACATCTTTTTGTCAAAGAAAATGTACTAAAACACTAAGATGTTTATTACTTCAGTTTGTCATTTAAAACAACTGTAATGTGAATGGGTTTTACAAACTTTAAAAACCACTGATATCCCCCCAGCAGGGAGCTCTTTCAAAAGCAGCATACACATGGAAATTGTTATTTGGAATAGTATATTTGAAGGCAGTCTCCTAATAAATACAATTGATTTCTTCTTGTGCTGATTTTTGCTGTTGACTGTTGTAGGACCCTACTAACACCAGGGGGCATTCTGTCATTTAGGCATGTTCTACAGTCACACTGGGCATATGGCATTTAGGAGAAGGATTACAGTGGAAATGTCAGTTTTAACAAAACATACAACTTTTTCTGGCATTACTGCACCGGAAAAGAAGATGGTATGTGAAACCAGGGAACACCTCAATGTGATAAATGGATGAAGAAATGCACTTGCATTCTTCTTTTGTGTTGGTGCACAGATACTGTTTATCATCCACACATCTACATAGATCCATGATCTGAGCCAGAGGTTAGCAATCACCCTGGGGTTTCTCCCAAAGGTAGAACTCAACAGTTTAAAAATTGGCTCCTGTATTGCACTTACTGCACTTCAGCCATTATCACAAAAATGTGCAGGGTGACTTCCCAAATTGTTTCGGGAGCCTCGATGGAAGGCCATGTCTTCGATATTCTTAAGAGCCAGACAAGATCAAAAACTCTCGGTATGTTGGTGGAGGGTACCTGTTGGACTACGGACTGTAACCCCCAAAAATCATGGCAAAGGCATGCATTGTTGCTCATAAATACCATCAACACCCAGTTATGGAAGCCCATTTCTGCCAATTTGATGGGGGGAAAAAAATGTCCTGTTAGTCATTATAATCTAAAACCTTCTCAAAATAATGAGAAATTCAATATTGTGACATAGTATCTCAAAAAGGATCATCAGCTCAAAATAATGAGAAACTTTCTTAATATTTGGACTTAAGCCTACCATCAGTAAGTGGACATTTTACTCACTGAATTCAACTGAATCTATGTAATGAAATACAAAGTTTACAACTCTTGTAGCACAATCTGCTTTATATTATCCTATTTAACTTTTGGAGATTACCAATGCGTGAATTGGCATGATCAGGCCTAATTCTACGAGGGAGTAAAAGCATCCATTACACCAGAGTTCAAAATTTTGCATGTTCAGTTGAAATGTGATTAAGGTGGTAGGTCTTACAGGCGCAGGCACTGTGTGGGCAATTTGGGCACACCTTCTATTTTGCTTCATGTATGTAAAAAGTGCTGGGGGAAGGTTAATAAAGATCAGTGGGTAAGGTGATTATTGAATACTCGCTCAGCCAGTCACATCACTGGTCTCATAGCTCTGAAACATCTGTGCCAGTCACAGAAACGTGATAACGACAGCTCAGCAAATGGAAAGTGATACCTCAGTTAATGTCTTGATGGTCCAGAGTGTCAGGAAATGAACTCACATGGCCGCAAATCTGCACCCAAAGACAGACTGCTTATGATTTCCAATTTATTTGGTGAAACCGTTTATAAGATTATATAAGGTCGTCTTTATTTTTGCATAATATGTATCTCATTATCTCATTATCAAGGGACAAGGGATATCTCATATCCCTTGTTAGAGCTGGTGCCTCATATAATAAGGCTGAGTCCTTACAACAGTGGCCATGGGTTCAAGTCGGGTGTGGCTCAGAGGCTGAGCGGGTCATTCCTTAATCGGAAGGTTGTGGGTTCGATCCCCGGCTCCTGGTGCCACATGTCGAAGTATCCTTGTGCAAGATACTGAACCCCAAATTGTTCCTGATGCCATGCATCAGTGTATGAATGTTAGTTTCTGTTTGGTGGACTTTGCCATCACTGAGTGAATGTGTGTGAAAGGGTGAATGTGGCACATAGTGTAAAAGTGCTTTGAGTGGTCGGAAGACTAGAAAGGCGCTATACAAGTACAGGTCCATTTACCATTTACCAAATCTGACCTGTGGCCTTTCGCTGTGTGTCACCCCCTCTCTCTGTCTCTCTCTTGCTCCCCCTTGCCTGTCTGTTTTGACCTGTCCTATAAAAAAAAAGGCAAAAAGCCCCAAAGCAACAACACTGTGCTGGAGATGCTAAGGACATGCCACAGCAACTACTGCTTGTTTGTGGCATCTGCTAGTGAGATTCTGAATTATATAGTCAATGTTTTATATTAGAATACATTTAGTTTCTTTATCAATGTTTTTAAGCAAGGTATTCATGCAGTAAATAAATATTATTTAATGTTCTTTTAATGTCCCTATACTTTCACTGTCATTCATTTCACTTTTTGTTTTATAAACTTTTTTATTTGCCCCTTCTCTCTCTTTTCTTTGAATTCAGCAGTGGTTCTAAAAAAATAAGTTGGAATAGAGGATAACAAGTTTAATTAAAAAACAGAATATAGAGTTATAACCAACCATGTGTGTACAGGTCTGTGTGGTTATATGAGGGTAAACAGTGAAGGCCATGAGTAATGGCACTGCCCTGCGGATTTATCAACATATCAGTCCTGCTGCCTTCAGATGCTGCATGGATTTCAGGAACTGAAGGAGAAGCTTCTCATACAGTCTAAAGCTGCTGTGGACATAGACTACAGTAAGAATCACCCACATTCATTCATGAATCAATTCACACCGATGTACTGACTCTCCTGCCTTGACCACATTAAACGTGATCAGAATCAGAAATACTTTATTGATCCCTGGGGGGGGTTTGTTTAAGTTGTTTGAGGTGCTGACACAATGTTAAACAATAGAAATAATAATTATATCTAACACAATATATATAAAATAGAAATGTATAGATAGGTCTATACATATAAGTTAAAAAATGGAAATATATATATATATATATATATATATATATATATATAGTAAGAGCCTATGTACCTTATAGTTAAATGTAGAATATATACTCTATATGCTAATACAAACATATTAATGTATGTTATTTTCTGTGCTGATTTTGATGAGACTGTTTAATTTGAATAAATGATTTATATTTGTAAGTATTTATTTTTAAAAGCAGCCCCTGACACCCTAGGGATTCACCGGTTAAATACATATTATTCATTCATTTCTGTTAAAGAAGAACAAAACAAATGTAGGTGTGAGGATAAGGCTGCCTCTCTGCCTCATACAGCTGGAGAGGAAGGACACGCTGTATAACTGTGTGCGTGGTTTTTTTCGGGGACCCCTCCCACCTACACAGCCTTTACTGGAGCTACTAGTACACGCCCACCACATCACGTGACCCTCGTCTTGCAGGCTGTAGTGGTCCGCAGAGAGAGCAGCAACAACAACAACACCGGAGAGAAGCGGAGGAGTAGAGCGGAGAAATGCTGCTCTCTTTTCGTCTGTGTATAAGTGAGTACTTCATGACAGCACATCGTCTGTGAAGTGTGTCAGTGCAGCTGTATACAGGCTGCAGGTTCCTTCCAGCATATTCGCTGCTAGCTGTGCGTTGTGTTAGCTTGGATGTGTTAGCTAGGCTGCTGCGGAGGCGTTAGTTATGAGACTGTGTTACTAACTTAGTTGGAGCTAAACGAGGGTTGGTTAACCTTTCAGTCATTTCACTCCGTTCTCTTCAAACTATTCTTTTCGTTGTAGAAGTCCGAGCACCTGAAAGCACAGGAGCTGAACACAACTAAAGGGGATTGACATTCCACATTGAGTTAGCTTGGATGTTTTCTACCAGGTTGACATGGTGTTAACTCTGCAGTATGTAGCCTCATAATGTTCACAATGTTCACAATGTCACATAGAAGACGCAATGAAATAAATAATGTGTAAAATATATCAATGAACAAACAATTTGTGAAATATTGTAATAGATTATAAACTTTTTAAGACATTTATATTTCATAATAAAGCCTGGTCCACACAGCATGCGTGAGCAGTGCGTGAGCAGTGCGTGAGCAGTGCGTGATGGCTGCCTGTGCTGTCCAAACTAAACCTTTCTGCTGCTACCAGCTATGGTTGGGTAGAGTTCACATTTAAATCGATGCGGGTACCAATACCCAACGTTAGGGCTGTCACAGTGAAGGAATTTCCCTTGCAGTGATTTAGGGTGGCTGAACAGTGTGATATGCAGTATTCTGTCATCTCAGTATACTCACCAGCACTCTCCTGCCTCCTTGGTCTGTGTGCCAAAAAAAGTTGTCAGTTAAAGGCACACTATGCAAGATTTGTACCTTAATATAACAGCCTCGAAGTCATTTCGATGGTAAACGAACTCATAGTACAGCGAATCATCCCAATAAGCAGGAGAGGTACTCCACTGGCAGAACCAGCAATGCAAGTCTGAAAGGTGGCGCCCCGCCAAATCTCGCAAGAATCACAAATTGCTTTACGGCGCGACGTGACATATATCAGCGACATAAGAAGCAGCCTCAATAGAAGACGTTACCTGGCAGTGTTTCCTCTAGGATTGTTTTTAGCAGTGGGGGCAGGCCCGTCCGAACGCCGCTCCAAAATCAACATAGAGGAAACACTGCCTGGTCAGTAGACATCTACGGAGTCTATCTTTGCCTGTTCGATGTCCGACACTTCCATCCTACTGAACATGTACCGGTATACAGGGGGGAGGAGATCAGGCCGTGAGTGCAGAGACGCAGAGCCGTATATAGAGACGGCTCTGGTGAGTGGTATTTACGACAGTTAACGTTAAATACAAGTACTCCGCAGCGACTCTTGGGGTAGCTGTTTGACCAAACCAGAAAACTGCATAGTATGCTTTCAACATATTCAGCTGAAAGTCACCAAAGTTGCGGGACGCCAAAACCACAGCTGTGGATGATTCGGAAGACCAGTCAGCGTTTTCTACTACAAAACCTCCTGTGTGATATTGTAATCCTGGGCTGTGAATTATGGAATACTGAATAGACAGCACCTCTGCTCTCCAGCCTCACTGCTCTGCAATGCTTACAGTCAATTGCACCAATCACCCTCTGGATTGCTATAGAACAAAAGGCTTAGCCTATGCAAGTATTTTTATATCATGATTGACCTGTGATCATATAAAACGCCTCTTTGATCTTTAGAACGTACCACCTTGCAACGGCACAGTGTACAGTATTCTTGCTCAGATGTTCAGCGTCACTGTGAGGGCATGAGTCCAGCAACTGGCATTAGGGATGTTTGGCCCTATAAGCCGGAATACATCCTGAGTTCCCTGAGATGAGAATCAACATCTTTCATAGAGAACGTTATCGGTGTAAGGTAACACCCTCGCCCTCCAGAATGAGCCTCTCACAACCTGTGTGCCAATGTTGACTGAGTCTTCCCAATGTGGTGTAATTTTTCTGGACAAGATCGTGGGCAAAAGAGATGTGTTTTTATGTGGTAGCATCTAGTTTACCATAAAGATTAGGGGTGTAACGATTCACCAAATCCACGGTTCGGTTCAGACCTTGATTTTTGAGCCATGGTTCAGTTCATACCACGGTTTTCCCCATTTCCCCATTTTGCAGAGAAACAGAGAGAGAGAGATGTTATCTGATATTACATTAAGCGGATACGGCAGAAATCTTACATTACGGAGCGTCAGTGAACACACCACTGCAGATGTCACTCACTAACGTTAGTTTCGGTTTGGACCCACATGCGGCGCACTTGAAAACTGAATCACAGGTGAGTTTATGAAACGTACTGCTGATGGAGAAAGTCATTAGAGGCACACACAGGGAGAGAGAGACAGAAAGAGGCGGAGCAAGCGGGCGTGTTTGCCGTGAGTGACCAGAGGTCCAGGCTAGGTGTGTGCTGTGTGTGAGTGTGGGGAGAAGAGAAAGGGAGCAGATTAAAGTAGTAAATAAACACTAAAATAAGGTGGAAAATGACCTAGAATAACCTACTGTCAATACAAATACGATATAGGCGTACACCGCTACCACCCCACGGGCCGCCGCCACCGCTGCAGTTACACTGTCTTAACGAGAGCTCAACAGTCCAGGAAGAGAGTGTGTCGCGGTTCTGTCTCTCGGATCCGCAACACAATACCGTGGATTTTTGTGTCGCGATTTCGGTCTTGGTTTCAGAATCGTTACAGCCCTAATAAAGATAACCTGCTGTATAGAGATGGGGTCTAAATTGCCATGACAGCATAACTCTTTTGTAGTACAAGTTAATTAGGAAGTTACTCCTGAAGTTACCTGTAATAATCCAGTTACAAAACAGTCAAACTAACTGACTTGATTTGGCCACTGCTATACCAGCTCCTATATATAAAAAAATAGTAGATTGCTATTGAGCCAATATGACTTGTATACAATTGGGTTCAGTGGAAATAAATGTGACTGGGGCATCCACAGTCAGCAGTAATGATTCAGTATTGAATTCTGCCCAGGTACCTGCAGTATTACTGTTTCAGTGGGTGTTCCTGCTCTGACCAGTCTGTCTTTATTTCAGAGCTGTAATGTGCTGACCAGAAGAGACGCATTTGAAGGACATTCTGTTTGACCAATAAGGAGGTGAATTGAGTTCTTCAAAAGAGGTGAGATCAAATACACTCACACATTATCCAGTAACACCTTTAGCTGCAGACAGCATCGGCTCTCACTTTTCCATTAAATAAAGTTGAAAGGAATTTGAAATGACACACAATTTGTTCCAATGAATTTGAACAATAATCTCAAGACTAGGGCTGTAGTTAACCAAATCAAATCTTGGTTGGCAACTCTAGCTGAGTGTGCCAGATAGTAGCAGTCGGATGTACACTTGATACTGCTCTGCTTGTCTGCAGCACCTCTGGTCTGCTGCCTCATTGGCACCTGGCAAGCTAATGTTTGCAAGTGAATCCTCAGATTTGTCATGAGACCTGATACTTCGGTACCAAGTCGAAAACATTACAGTTAGGTCAGTACAGTCAGTTACACAAGCCCTAACTCAGACAATTCCAATCACATTTTAAAGGATATCGACTGATTATCGTTATCACCAAAATCCCCCAAAATATCGAGATATTATTTTTTGCCCATATCGCCCACCCCTAATTACAGTACTTGTTTTTCTACAATACCATAGGTGCCGGGGGTCGGCTCTTCCAGACCTGACAAGGCAGCATATATGCCTCTAAGCAGCCTTGATGACCCACCACTAGAACATTTTCTGATTTTTGAATAAAAAATGACAGCCCTGCAGCATTAAATTCACAAGCTAAGTCATAATTTGATGGCATTCATTTAAATATAATCTTGTCTCATTTTTTAATTTGGAAAAGAAAAAAAGCTTTTAGAAACAGATGTCTGCTCAGACAGGGTTAAGGACTGTGATTGGTCAGTTTAACTATTAATATAGTGAATAATACAATATAAATGTTTTTAACCTATATTTATGGTGACTTTGACATAATGAAGTAATGATTTGATCAGTATCTGGACACAGCATATCAGGAGTTTCTCTTTGCCTTGTTAACCATTAACGTTAGTGTGGGCGGAAGGGTTTCTGAAGTTGTTAATCAAGCAATTCTGATCGAGTATACTATATATGGAGTATGGTTACTTAATGGTTTAATTTCTCTTTCTGTTTTTGTTTGTTGAAACCAACAGACGCAGACAGTGTCGGTGTCAGAAGCTTGGAAAATAGTCTGCTTTCAGACGGTTTGGTGGTCGCAGAAGGGATGGACTCACTTACTCAGCAGAGAAACTACCAATGTGAACAGTGTGGAAAAAGTTTCAGTGACTCAAATGTTTACAAGAGACACCTACGAATCCACACTGGAGAGAAGCCACACCAGTGTGATCACTGTAAAAGGGCTTTCGGTCGCTTAAGTAGTTATAAGAGACACTTACGAGTCCACACCGGAGAGAAACCATTCCAGTGTGAGCAATGTGGAGAGAGTTTCACTTGGTTAAGTAGTTACAAGGACCACCAGCGTTCCCACACCGGAGAGAAGCCATACCAGTGTGACCAATGTGGAAACACTTTCACACGATTAAGTAGTTATAAAGACCATCAGCGTGTCCACACTGGAGAGAAACCATACCAGTGTGATCAGTGTGAAAAGGCTTTCAGTCGCTTAGGTGATTATAAGAGACACCAGCTTAACCATACTGGGGAGAAGCCACACCGGTGTGAACAATGTGGGAAAAGCTTCTGTTTATTAGGGGATTACAAGAGACACCTGCGGATCCACACCGGAGAGAAGCCATACTGCTGTGAACAATGTGGAAACAGTTTCACTTTATTAAGTAGTTACAAGGACCACCAACGTGTCCACACTGGAGAAAAGCCATACCGCTGTGAACAGTGTGGGAAGAGTTTTAGTAGCCTAAGTTACTACAAGAGACACCTGCGTGTGCACACTGGGGAGAAGCCTTACCACTGTGAACAATGTGGGAAGAGTTTCCGTCTCTTAAATGTTTACAAGATACACCTGCGTGTCCACACTGGAGAGAAGCCATACTGCTGTGAACTATGTGGGAAGAGTTTTAGTTGCCCAAATTACTACAAGACACACCTGCGTGTACACACTGGGGAGAAGCCATTCCGGTGTGAACAATGTGGGAAAAGTTTCCGTGTCTCAAGTGAGTACAAGACACATCTGCGAGTCCACACTGGAGAGAAACCATACTGGTGTTCTCGATGTAAAAGATTATTTGCTTGGGCAAAATCATTGAAAGTACACCGTTGTGTTGCTGTAGATGAAGAGAGCTTTGACTGAGTGAAAAAAAATCTTTTTCCAGCCCAGAATAGTGCCACCACTCAAAGATCTGATTGCCAAAGTTACTTCTGCAGATCATCTGCCTGCCACTGCTTCATAGTATAAGATAGATAGATTTTTTATTGTCTTTTCAAGGAAATGTGTTGCCACAGTCTGTACATAGCCTCACATGCATACATACATACATGCACAGCATAAACACAAGATAGACATTCGAAACAGCAGCAACATTTGTACAAACATCCAATTTATTTAATTATAAATTATATAATATAAAAATATTTACACATAATGGTTACATAGGTGTTTTGTTGAGTAATGCTATGGCAGATGGGACAAAATGTATGCCATAGCGAGCCCTTTTACGAAGGGCAATGTAAAAAATGGGTTGGTGGGTAAATGGTGTGTATCTGCTATGGTGTGTGCTCTGCATGTAAAAGCTTTGCTGTTCAGGTCTGAGTGATTGTGGGTGGGGTGACGTTCAGCTGCAGATAACTGTGTGTGCATTACTGTGTGAAGTGGGAGATGCAGTCTAAATAGCCCAAAACAGGGTTATTGTCATTAAGGAGTACGAGGATGACATTGTCATTTGAGTATTTGATGTATGTGGTGATAGGTGAGGGTCTGATCCAGTCATTGGGGTAGTGGGTAAAGCATTCAACACGGGGTAGCTTTTATTGTGAAGCAACCACAGGAAGTAGGAATGTGTTTATCACTAATAGCTCTAACTGCACTGCAGTATGACGTTACATGAAATACTTCAAATGAGGATTAACGTTCACAGTTTCTCTTGACTGTCCCTCAATATTAAACCATAAGTCCAACATCACCACAACCTTTAACCATATTGCCCATGCAACATGCTAACGCCAAGTTCAACAGACTAACCTACAAAACAAACAAACAACATAAAACATGGAAGAACTTCAAAGTTTGAAGTTGGTCACAGGCAGCCAGAACAGGGTATTGATCAATGTTTGAGCTTGAATTGTTAATTAATTTAGTGTAATGTGCACCCAAACATATAAATTAAACAAACAAACAATAAAGTGAATCCACTGAGTCTTCACTTCCTCAGATGATGGGAGTCGATAAGTGCTCTCTATGTAGGCAACAACAGAGCATTCCTGTGCTCATCTCTTGGACACATTCCAGTTTTCCAGTCGTTCTAGGGACATGTCCAAAAAAAAAGAAATTATTTAATCCATTGTGTCTTCTCCGCTTTCTAAGATGGTGGGAGTCTTTTGACCGGTATCATGTGTAGTTAGTTAGCCTAATAATGTGTGACCTATAAGATATGTTGCCAGGACAATTTAAAAGGAAAGTTACATTATGCTAACGATTGGTTTTGCCTCCGCTGTCACTGAGAGGTTCACTCAGTGCTCTCCATCTGTCTGTGGTTTATGTATGAGTGTGTGTTCTTTGCTTTTCTCGACAATCATATTGATGGACCTAACGTTGGTGGGTGTATTTCTGGGGACACAAGCAAGCGTAATGTCAAATTTGGTGCAATTTGGACATGCTACTCTTTCAACAATATTTATACTTTAAATAAACACGTAAACAGCCCTCTGCGTGCAGCGGGGTGGTTTTACTGCCGCTCAGTCCTTAGCAATACCAGTTGATATCAATGCATCACATTGTATTTGCTCATACAAATATGTCTGCAGACAGAAGTTGGATAGTACTGTGTGTACGAAACAAAAGTGCTAATAAACAGATTACTGACCGATTTCTTTGTGTAGGAGCGGCTGTGGCTCATTAGGTAGAGCCTGTCCTTTACTAATTGTAGGGTCAGTCCCTAGCGCCTCTTCTCAACATACATGTTGGAGTCATGAATGAATAATCATAAATTCATTTTGCAATATGAGGTGATGTTTAATTTTTGGAGGTATTTAATTAGTTAGTATCTTTGACATCATTGCAGTATTTTGTTTATTATTGTTTGTTTGCGGTGATTTTTAAAATTTGGGTCACATGTTTATGGGCAATGACAGTAACATAGAGCACTTTTTCACCTGTATTTGTGTAATACTTGGTTGAGAGGGTAAGCATGGTCACCATATTTTTTGTTGGCCGCTATTTTATGTTTAATCACTGTGATTACTTTGAAGAGGAACTCCACCCTAAAATGTGTTTGGAGCTGTAAACTCCATTATATGACAGTATTGTAAACAACACATCAGTGCTGGTGTTGAAATTGACATTATTATAAGTATTATAATTTATGAAAATCTGCATTTCATGGGTTGAAAATGTCCTTCTACAAATCACCCTGAGCCCTTTTAAGTCCAGTGCTGAGATAGAGTTGGGGCTTTTGGGCGACTATACTTCATGACATTTACATGAAAAAAACGCCCTCTAGTTAGAGGAGAGCAGCCCACCACCCCCAACCTGCTCTTTGAATGGGAGTTTGTGAAACTGCTGTGCTCATTTTCAGACGTATACAGTTGGAGACACGACATTCACAGGAGTTTATGCAATTTTTTGCTAACCCACTAGTATGTTTCTATTCTGGCGCAGTGGTTTGGACTTGTGTTTTAGACGGCTGTAGAAACACCAACGAACAGCAATCCCACACACTGACAGTCAGTATGTGACACACACATACCTGACAGTTAGCCTCGCTGAGCCGTTAGCTTGTTATTGTAATAAATAGAGTTGATTGTATGTTTAGTGCTGCTATAATATAATAAACTCTGTTATATTGTAATAAGAAGTGTCTGGTTGTTTTTGCTTGCTACACCAAGAACTCATAATTTGCCTTCAAATTACTGTTACCTTCTCAATGTTGTTAGTAAATTGTTATTAAATTACTATTAGATTTATACACTGGCAATTGTAACTACTTTGCCTCTATTTGATTATCTTAATTATTCTATTGAAATATTCACAATTTATGATAAACATTAATGAGACTGTTATTAAATCTGCTCTTGCTTCCCTCTGTCTAGAGCAGGTGTCTCAATCTCAAATTGTCATCTCAAGGAGGGCCACTTCAATGTTCAAGTAGCACAAGAAAGTACAGTATTCTGAAAATATTTCCATTACCAACATCTACTTAACAACAAAAAAAAAAACCAGCAGTTACTTTACATTTTATATCATCTTGCAGCCAAAAATCAAATAAAGCCCTGAAACCTGCTCTTTTTTTATTTTCATGTGTTTGTGGGCACCTTTGACCTTTGGCATTATTATGAGCCAAACCAAATCATTTTCTCTCAAAATAGAATTGTGTTTTTATTTTAATTTTATATGAAGGGGCAGTTTAAATTGATAAGAGACAACTAGACAGAATAATAATTTTGCAGGCCACATTATATCTTATATACAGTATAGGTTATAGTGTAGCAGGAGGCTTTCAGGTGATTGAACAAGAAAAGAAAACAACTTTTCTGTTTGTTTTAAGAGGATATAAAATCTGGGATTAAAATAGTGTATTTTATGTCCTATTATGCTCTTTTATGTACGTCAGCCAGGAGTAAAGCTCCTGCCACTCTGTTCTTCTAACAAATCTCAAGAGGTTGTTTCTACAGGAGATATGGATGTTGGAAATATCATGTTGGTGATCTTTCTTGCTTTTGGCTTTCAGGTCATCCAGACTTTTTCCCAGCCCATCTGCAGGACTAATCTACTGGTAAAACAGACCCCAGTCAACTAGAATGTGTCCATACTCCATTCCCTGCATCTGGGACCTCTGACTTCTCTCCTTCTCTCTTCTTCCTTACATTCACTGTGTTTGTGTACACAGGCTGAATATTTAACTATGCAGCTCTACTGTGGTTAGCACATAATATTTGCAATATTTAACACACACAAATATTAAATTAAAAAATCCCTAACCATTGCTTTTCCTATGACTTACTAGCCTATGGGTTATGGCCCGTATAAATTGTAAAATAAACCTAACTTAGGTTTGTGAGTACACAGAGATTCAGCTTAGCTTGTTTTCAGGTTTAGGACCACACTGACCCCCCCTCCCTCTGGTCCTCCAGCAGAGTACCAGTACTGCTGGAGCTCCCTAGAGGCTGGGTATAGGATTTGGGGTTAGGCTCCGGTTTTGAGAGCCATTAACATGCAGAACGTTCTGGAGGTATCCCTTTAATTCAGAATAACAGTGCATAGTTTTTTCTTATGGAAAATCCATAGGTACGTTTATCCGGAGCAGAGGGTGGCGGTAATGAACGCCAGCCGCCGAAGAAGAAAGCTTTCGGTTTATCCGTCTGTCACGTGACCCTCGTCTTGCAGAAGCTGAGGAGTAGAGAAGAGTTCGGAGGTTAACTGCTGCTCACTGTGTCTTAGTACTTAATGATAGCTCTTCTGTAAAGCCTGTCAGTCCAACTGTAGCAATACATGCTGCAGTTTCCTTCCAGCATCTCGCTGTTAACTGTGTGTTGTGTTAGTTATTAGACTGTGTGTTACTAGGAGCGAAACTTTGTTAAGGTTACTGCCTTTTCTTTTTAACTGTTCTTTTCCTTTTAATAGTCCGAGGACCTGAAATACATCAAACCAACAGCTTGTGAAGTAATAGAAGAAATTATAAAAAGTCATGACATTTTTGTTTAATAATTCTGTTGATTATAATAAAGCCTGGTCCACACAGCATGCGTGAGCAGTGCGTGACAGCCGCCTCACTCTGTGGTGTCCTAACTGAGCGTTTCTGCTGCTGCTGCCAGCTATGGTTTATGGAAGCCAGTCGTGACCAAAATTTAAATTAAAATGCATTTGCAGAAATGCTTTTTCATTTAATAATTTCACTGTTATTTGTGTCGACTACTAAATTTCTGGTATTGGGACATCCCTGTTTGGATCACAAGGCAAACTACTTCAAACGACCCGTCGTGCTTTCATAGACTTTACATTTTTAATTCAATTCAACTGCTTGTTAGAGTTCGAAAGTGAACCACGTTCAAAACATATTTTTTAATTAAAAGTGACAGCTCTGCAGCACTGAATCCACAAGCTAACTCATGATTGCAGAATTTTTATGAAGTCTACACTCTGATGTTAATTTCTCCATTTCTGTTTTTCTCCGGTTCCGGCCGGCCCGCGGGCCGTAAGTTTGACACCTCTGAGTTAAACCGACAGTCAGTCAACTATATACTGTAACAACTAATATCGGCCCGCCAATAAATCAGTCGGGCTCTAGTGTGTATATGTAGTGTGTGTATATGTACATATATTTGAGACCTCACATTTCTCTAGCTCTGGATTCTCTCTCTCTTCTCTTTTCCTGTCTGTTCCACCAGTTCCATTGTGTGCATTCTCACTTGCCCCTCACGTGGGAACAGCTCTGAAACCACCATTCATCCTTTGTCGCCTGTATGTGTTGTGCTGCTTCCTTACTGGGTCTGAGGCTGCCTTTTTCCCTCTTGTTACACTGGCGCGCGCACACACATACACTGTATGTATGTAGTTCCACTTGCTAGAACTTTTCTTGTATTTTTAGTGCTGCTAGAATATAATAAACCGTTATATTGAAACAAGAAGTTTTTGTGGTTGTTTTTGCTTGCTATGCCAAGAACTCTAAATTTGCCTTCACAGTTTCCCAAGCTGAAGGAGTTCATACAGTACAAAGCAGCTGTGGACAGCAGATACTGTAAGAACTACCCACATTCATCCATAGATCACTGCAGACTGATTTACTGACTTTCCTGCTTTAATCACATTAATGTTATTATTAGTAAATACTTCATATACAAATAGGCCAAAAAGTTATTTTCTGTTTATCTTAAAAGGAGATCAAAATTGTGACTACCACAGTAGTTTTGCTCAGATAGTGTATTCATGTCCTGGTATTCTCTTTCATGTCAGTAGGTGGTATTATTAAGTGATGAAACATTGCTGGCCCGCAGTGTCTGTAGATGAATACGGCTCATTCTCATGGAACAAAAACACAATGATTACTATATTCAGGTGATTATACATTAATGCAGTTGTTGTTACAAGCACAGCACACGGCATATAGCGGACTGCTAACCTGAAAGGACAGCCATTTGTAGCCTATGTAGTCTATTATTGTAGCTTGCCAAACATTTGAGAGGACAGGAGACAGGACTGATTTTGACTTACATCTGTGTGTTTGATGTCAGGAATATGATTTATTTTACGAACATTTTTACATTTGTTTATAGTGATATATTATTGAGTGTATATAGGGTTTGATGCAGTGTTTACTGTTGCTGCTGTACTCAATATGGACATTTCAATTTACATTATATTTTACGTAATACCTGGTTTTGAATATCATAATGTTACGTTTGGTGTTTTTATACAAAACAAAGATGTTGAACTTTTATATAATTGTATTTTTTCTTCTGGTACATTTTACATTCACAAGTGTAGTTTTTTTTTTTTTAAAGTTTGCCAAGATTTGTTGCATTTATGAATGACTTGAAAATGTTCTTTAAATCCTTAACTACACACCTGTGGTTAAACAATCACACATTCTGTTGCCCCCCAGTCGTGTTTGGCATCCCGTGCAGAATGACTGTAAATTCTGCCCGGTACCTGCTATTACTTTTCGGGTGTTCCTGCTCTACCGTTGTCTTTATTTCAGAGCTGTAATGTGCTGACCAGAAGAGAAGGATTTGAAGGACATTCTGTTTGATCAATAAAGAGGTGAAATGAGTTCTTCAGAAGAGGTGAGATCAAATATACACTAACATTATCCAGTACCACCTTTTGCTGCAGACTGTATTGTAGGGCTGTCACATATTCCAAAACATTTAACACACGTTAAGATTTTTTTACCCTTTATCTGTCCAGATAAAACATTAAGAACAGTTTCTGTATGATGGTTATTAGACCTATGTAATATGAATTGGAAGGGCACGTTGTCATGAGCTGTATTTTGTATATTTATTATTAGCTATGTGGTATGTGTATGCACCTTTATGTAATCTGGTGGAAAAACATTAAAATTTAAGACCGGATCATACCAAACAAATATCTGCTTGCATGTCCCTGTGTATGCAAAGTGTCCTCCTTTTTGATGTGAAGGAAATGGCCACCCTACTTGTATCTAGGGGGTCCACTATGATAGGTTTACATTCTTTCATGTTCAATTATTTTTTTAAATTTATTTTTCTAACACTGACCATTGCTACAGCATCTCTATTGAGGCCCCCTTCCGTAAATGCCAGTCTGCTCTGATTGGTCAGCTCCTACATGTGTGAGCATGCACAACCAACCATTCTTCTGCAACAGTGTTTAGCCGTAGGTTTTAGCCATAGAATAATAAAGTCGCTACAGCTTATTCCATGGGCAAGCTAGCTGCTGGGTGCTAATCAGAGTTACACAGCGTTCTCATGCAAATGAATTACTGAAGTTTAACTAAAGAGTGAGGCCGCACTGAACTGACAAATTTATCACTGAATAACCCAGAATATGATAATGGTTTCCTTTGAACACTGAAATGATTTATTTTGATTCAAGCAAGTTGTCACTGTTCAAGTGAAGAGTGAGGAAATATCAGTCAGTTTGTGTGTGTGTGTGTGTGTGTGTGTGTGTGTGTGTGTGTGTGTGTGTGTGTTGTTGTGTGTGTTGTGTTTTGTGTGTGTGTGTGTGTGTGTGTGTGTGTGTGTGTGTGTGTTTTATTGGATTAGTTTTTATTTAGTTTTATTTAAAAAAACAAACTGATTTGGATTATATCTAATTCACACTCTGGAGCAGAAGGTGGCGCTAACGCTCCAATAAGCTGGAGGCCAACCGCTGTAAATGAAGACAAAGAAGAACACAGCTGTCACGTGACCTTCGCCTTGCAGCCTGTAGCGGTCCTTCGAGAGAACAACAACACCGGGGCGTAACGGAGGCGTAGAGAGGCGTAGAGAGGCGTACAAAGGTCAATTGTAGCTCTCTTTTCGTCTGTGAATAAGTGAGTACTTCATGACAGCACATCGTCTGTAAAGTGTGTCAGTCCAGCTGTATGCGTTGTGTTAGCTCGGCTGCTGCGGAGGCGTTAGTAACGGACAGCAGCGAGGGTTGGTTCACCTTTCAGCCATTACTCTCAGTGTTTATTGTTCTCGTTGTAACAGTCGAAGGACCTGAAAGCACAGGAGCACACAACTAAAGGGGATTCACGTTTTACACTAGCTGTCCATTGTGTTAACTCTGCACTATGTAGCCTCATAATGTTCAATATTAAATAAATGGGACATTATGATATAACCATATTAACAAACTGTGTAGATATCTAGAAAGATTATCTATTTCTCAATAAACCAACACTTAGTGAAACAATTAAAGAAATGATTAAAGTTTTATTTAATAATGAATTAACAGAATTTGATATTGTTATTTAACTTAAACCATTGGATTCCAAAAAGCCCTTTTTCAAAAGTCTCTTCTTATTTGGTCCTGACAGTTATTAACACAGTCATTTCCTGTTTTATTTTATAACTTTTCATCACAGTGGTGATGTCACAGCCATCTTACTACACCTAAACCAATCACACGTCCCATTTCTAATAAACTTGCAAACCCAACAACCGCTACTAAATTGAGCAATTTAGCACATATTAGCTAGAACACTGGGCCCTCTCCAATTCAGTGAGCAAGAGCAGTGTGCTTGACACGTAATGGCAGGGGCCAGGAAACCAACCAGTGGCAGCCAAACCAACAGCCATATTGGCCTCCAGGGCAAAAGCCATGGTAACTCTCCTGGTTGACAAATAATTGCTTGCTTGCACATGATGTCACATCACTGCAAAAGGAGGGCAGGAGTTAGTTTTGATGTGATAAAGCTGAGAAACAACAAGGAGCCTTTACGGACCAGAACATTTTGCACAAGAATAAACTGATATACATTTGAATATTTCTTGTGACCATCTTTGATCCACCTCTTACAAAAACAAAATATGGGTTTACCATCAGTTCTTCAAAGTGCTGTAATCAAACACAGTTGCTTTTACCACCTACAGTATGGCTGTTTGAGTGGGGGGGTTCCTGCTCTGACCAGTCTGTCTTTATTTCAGAGCTGTAATGTGCTGACCAGAAGAGAAGGATTTGAAGGATATTCTGTTTGACCGATAAGGAGCTGAAATGAGTTCTTCAGAGGAGGTGAGTAGGGCGGTCGCAATAATGAAATATCACGCTATTGGCAAGCCACCAACACTGTACATGACATCACATCGTCATAATTATCATGTTCAGTAACATCATAACGGCGTCCTAAAGCGGTTAGGCTGAAGAGACTTGATACAGCAAAAGTGCAGTCTGAAACGCAGATCTACTCAACATCCCTCTATACCCAGGCCAGGATTAAAATACCACACAGGAGAAAGTTACATAACCTCTGGCTCACTCGCTCTAGAATAACTCCCAACTAATAAACACCAATAGTCTTTTAGAAAATGCAGGCTGGTCCACTAATTATCCCAATCCACCAGAGGTGTGCCAGTGTTTTGGTTTGACGAGTGACTCTGTTAACTTGCGACCTTCAGCCAAATATGTAACTTTATTCGTATGAAATAGGGTCACAGACCCAGGAGGCATGAGAAGGGAGAGTGGGCAGGTACTTAGATGAAACTTAGATTGTCCTGCTGTACCTCTGACAAAGCAATTTGCTAAAAACAACTAAGATAATGGTGGTAATACTACGACTGTTGAGCCGCCCTGAATCACCACAGGGGAAATCCCTTCACCAAGACAGCTCTAGAGGTGAGATGAAATATATGTTATCTTATCCAATTCCATCTTTTCCTGTAGACAGCACTGAATCCACAAGCTACTTTGTCAGATCACTTTGTGATCAAAAATATTATGATCTGAACACAGCAGCTCAGGGGTTTGCCTTGTTAACTAATAATGTTAGCATTAGGGTGTAAAATGAACACATTAACACACCAATAGCAGAGTGAATTCTTAGTGTGGAGTTCAACTTTAGTGAACTTTTTTTAATTTAGTCTTGTCACTCGCCTGAATTTGTGCACGTATTACCGTGCCCTTAGAGGTCATAAAGGTGTGGGACAAGAAGTTTCTGAAGTTGTTGTTATCCAACATGGAGTATACTATACTAACCCTAACCCTGGAGTATGGCTCTTGAATTGCTATCAGCATTTTTATGAAGTCCTACATTCTGATCTTAATTTCCCTGTTTCTGTTTTTCTCAGTTGAAACCAACAGACGCAGACTGTACCACTGTCAGAAGTGTTGGAAATCTTTCAGTTGGTTTGGTGGTCGAAGACCAAAGTGGAAAGACTTTCACAGACTCTGATATTTACAAGACACACTTGCGCATCCACACCAGAGAGAAGCCCTACCAGTGTGACCAATGCGAAAAGAGTTTCAGTTACTTATGTCATTACAAGACACACCTACGCATCCACACCGGAGAGAAGCCATACCAGTGTGAACAATGTGGACACAGTTTCAGGCTGTTAAGAAGTTACAAGGAACATCAGCATGTCCATACGGAAGAGAAGCCATACCAGTGTGATCAGTGTGAAAAGGCTTTTAGTCGCCTAAGTAATTACAAGACACACCTCCAAGTCCACACTGCAGAGAAGTCACACCACTGTGAACAATGTGGGAAGAGCTTCCGTTTCTTAACTTCCTACAAAAGACACCAGCGTGTCCACACTGAAGAAAAGCAATACCAATGTGATCAATGTGGGAAGGGTTTCCGCTTCTTAAGTGATTACAAGACACACCTGCGAGTACACACTGGAGAGAAACCATACCGCTGTGAACAGTGTGGGAAAAGTTTCCGCTTTTTGAGTGATTACAAGAAACACTTGCGTATCCACACTGGAGAGAAGCCGTACCAGTGTGAACAATGTGGGAAGAGTTTTAGTTGCACAAGTCACTACAAGAGACACTTACTTGTCCACACTGGGGAGAAGCCATACCACTGTGACCACTGTGAAAAACAATTTACTGAGTCTAGTGATTATAACAGACACCAGCGTACCCACACTGGAGAGAAACCATATCAGTGTGAACAATGTGGGAAAAGATATGGTCACTTAAGTAGTTACAATCAACACCTGCGTTGCCACACTGGAGAGAAACCATACTGGTGTTCTCGATGTAAAAGATTATTTGCTTGGTCAAAGTCCCTGAAGGTACATCGCTGTGTTGATGTTTATGAAGAGAGTTCTGACTGAGTGTTGGAGTGCTTTTTACACAGCACACAGAATAGTTTGTTGGTTCTTGCAGTCAACAAAACAGAAATTGACCCTTTTTTTTGTACCTTAGACACCTACGTGTTTACTGGAGTTAAATAATAATGGTAGGGTAAGGTAGATTTAGTGGGTAGGACGGTCACCTAGCTGGAGGTGGTGCTGTGTTACATTGTGACATACACAAGTATGTTAAAGGACAGTGTTTTCTGAGAGACTGTAACTTTCTTCGGCATGGACTTTGGGCTTTGTAACTTTGCAGATGTTTTACGCACACAACAAAGGCTATATAATACACTACAGCATATGGTGGTCTGCTCTTTATATCATGGGAAAAAGCAATATATTGAATCATAACCCCTGTATCGCAGTATGTAACATTGCCAGATTCTTGCCAATACACAGCCATTTTCTGCATGTTTTAATTACAGGATAAGTTTTTGTAACCTTTTGAAGGAATTGAACAGTGAGCTGTCAGAAAGTGGTTGCAGTTGTTACTGACCGATTTCCTTATGTAAGGATGGCTGTGGCTCAGTAGGGATGGCTGTGGCTCAGCAGGTAGAGCATGCCTTCTACTAATCGTAAGGTCGATCCCCAGCGCCTCTTGTCAAAATATACACTAAACCCCAAATTGCTCTTGTTGGTTTCCAGCTCCTTGCATGGTAACCTGCTGCCATCGCTGTGTCGTTATTTAAATGCAGCTATTTGTCCCTTTATTTAAACATGAGTTTGCACTATTGCACTGTTAATGGAATGTAAGCATTACAACTTTAAATTAATTGTCAAAGATATTTGTTCAAAACATAAAAATGTAATTATAGATCTACTACTTATGGATGTAATCATCTGTTCACAATGTTGTTAAACTGTTAGTACATCCTTTTTGTAAAATAAACATTTCCTCGAAACTCTAAGATGTTTATTCCTTTAGTGTGCCATTTATTCAACAGTTGTAATGTGATGTTGACCCTAATATGAGCATACATTAAAGGCACACTATGCAAGATTTGTACCTTAATATAACAGCTTCAAAGTCATTTTGATGGTAAACGAACTCGTAGTATAGTGAATCATACCGATAGCAACGCTGGGGAGGGACGCCGCTGGCAGAACCAGCAATGCAAGTCTGAAGATGGCGCCCCGCCAACTCTCGCGAGAATCACAAATTGCTTTACGGCGCGACGTGACATACATCAGTGACATAAGAAGCAGCCTCAATGGAAGACGTTACCTGGTCAGTAGACATCTTCGGAGTCTATCTTTGCCTGTTCGATGTCCGAGCTTCCATCCTACTGAACATGTACTGGTATACAGGGGGGAGGGGATCAGGCCGTGAGTGGAGAGACGCAGAGCCGTATATAGAGACGGCTCTGGTGAGTGGTATTTACGACAGTTAACGTTAAATACAAGTACTCCGCAGCGACTCTAGGGGTAGCTATTTGACAAAACCAGAAAACTGCATAGTATGCCTTTAATGGTCATTACTCAGAACACAAATAGAAATTGTCATTTGTATGTTAGTGTAACATACAGGTCCAGACTGACACCAGATTTATATTGACAGAAGGGATTACATCGGTCCGTCATAAATACAAAGTTTTCATTTCTACTACAGTGTTGATTTTTCTTGAATGTCGTAGGACCATACTAACACCAGGGGGCATTCTCCCTCATTAAGGCAGTACAGTACTACAGTCGTTATATACTGGCAATATTCCTCATAAGTGACATCAACAGCCACCAAATACATTCCTGCTAATTTTACACTGTTCTAACAGTGAAGAAGAGCCCTAAGCACAACTACTTGTATACACATCTATATATGTTCATACCCATAGCTTACCAGCTATCGAAAAACATTTTAAGTCACATTTGGAAAACAACTTGTCACAACGTTCATAACTCATTGCAAATCAGAATATGGTGTGTTTCATTCCAGTACCCCGGACCACACATGCAGACAGATCCTCCACAGCCCTGAGAAACATTGTTTTTATTTTTGTGCGCAACTCAGCCAGCTGACCAGACGTCAAAACGTGTCCATGTGCTGTGGTGCTGCTTTATTACTCTTTGCCTCATTAAAGGTCCAGTGTGTACTGTGTAACATTTAGGAGGATCTGTTGGCAGAAATGAAATGTAAAAAGCATAACCATGCTTTCATTAATATATAATCACCTAAAAATATGAATTGTTGTGTTTTTATTAAAGACTTTTTTATTTATTATTTTTTATTTGATAACTGGCATATTTAAAATCTATAACCTCAGACGTATTTGCCTGGCTAACATCCTTGAAGGTACATTGTTGCGTTGAATTTTGACCCCAGCTCAGAGATAGTGATGGTGTTTGTGTGGCACTCCTGAGCAGCATTCAGATTGCCTGCCTAAGGACAAGGGATTCAAGAAAATGATGCGTGCATACGATTAAACACAGCTATCTAATTGCCTTACTGCTTACTTTTCACTTTCTAGAGCTGTATTAAGTTACTGCTAATGCTTAAAGATGTTGCCACTGTTCATATTAAAAGCGTTTAAGAGGGTGTAGCTTTTATTATATGTAACATCCTCTGGAAATGCGATGTGTTTGTCATCACAGTTAGCACCGACTAACATTGTTAACCAAAAATGCGTCTTTCAAACAAGACAACAGCCATTTTCGTCATGTTCTCATCATTGGATAGTTTATTTTTGTAAAACAGCAGATTGACACCAGATTTACCAGTACCACTCTGGTCTATAGTCAAACCATTGCTAATCTTGAAGGTGCCAATAAAAATGTTTCTAGTTAAAAAATGCTTTCATTGGGTGGAAATTTTACCATTATCTTGCCTTTAAAGCAGGAAAAGAACAACATCACAGTAGAGTGCAGGTTCTGCCCTACAGCTGTGAAACTAGTCTAACAGCCTGGATTTGCTTCATAAAAAGCTGGTTTTACTTTAAAAATGCACAGAGGACACATCGTTGATGTACTGGAAAGTAATCAAGTCACATTACTTTACACTACATACTTGGATTATGTTACTGATTACATTACAGGTAATGTACAGGTAATTTATAATTGTATCAGATTACATTTTAAAACTAACCCTCCCAACTCTGCCTGTCTGGTTTAAATGAATGTGTCTTGCTGTTTTGATGCGATGTTTGTTTTTTGTAAATGAGTTTGTTAATAAATATTTAATAAGTAATACAGTTGTTTGACAAATTTTATTTGGCATTAGCAAATAAAAATATTTACCATAAATATAACCCTTTATAACCCCATAAAAAGAGGGACCTGTGCGAACACATACAATCCACAAGAGGGCACCACGAGACCACAAATTACTTGTCATAGTTTTAGATTTCATCTTTTGGCTGATTTGTGTCAAACTTGACATCCTAAATCTGGAGCCTATTGTGGTTATGCTTAGGAAGTATGGGGAGTAAAAAAATGCAGTTGTAGTTCCACCAAACGTAGCAAGATCTATTTGAGTTTTTTTGTAAACAAAGAACCCAGTCACGTGGCTGGAAGACAAAATCTACATATCTTTGTAATGTTTATAGATTTTTTTTTACAAACAATTCCATAAACATTTACAAATAATTTGGTAATCATTAACAAATATTTAATATTTTAAACATTTTAAGTATAAAATGTGCAACAATAAACTGTTTCTAATGTACTTGTAATTGTTATTCTTATTAGCTACAATACAACATGTAAATTATAAACTAATAATAAAACAACATAAATTAAGGCAATAATAATAATTTGTAAACAGAAAATGTATTAGTTGTTAAATTTAATTGTCAATTTAAAGTTTACATTAATGATGTTACCAAAGTATTGGAATGTGGAGTTATGAACAAAAACACGCCATGTCTTTATAACAGTGCCCCCCTATGGTTGTTCCGTGTCATTTGTTTTTTTCCAGTTGGAACTTCTCATACCCACCCTGAAAATGTTCCACCTTTGTCATTTGGGCCACTTTAGTAGGCGGAGACAGGATGATATTAATGAAAGCCAAAACAGAAACAATAGGGCTCCAACATAGTTGGTGCTGGACTAACAAGGAGAATAGGTCCCAATTAAGGCCATGGAGCTTATCCAAACCACATTTTTGATCACTGATGAATCTACATATATTTTCCGATTTTGTCTGCATCGTGGTGGATCTGTCATATGTGATCACTGACTCACCTAGCTGTGATTCACATACACTCATTGTGCAGACAAATACTGTCACACACAATGTGACTTTTTGACACAAGTAGATGTAAAGTGTTCTCATATCCTCTGTCTCTCTGCACAGCACACACACACACACACACACACACACACACACACACATCTGTCCCTTATGAATAGTGCAGCCCGTGGGATCTCGTTACAAACAGTGTGCCATCTGCACGCAGACAAAAACAAGTCCTGTTAACGTCTCCTACCTCCCCTATAATCACTACTACTCAGTCTGTCATCCCCTGTGGCCAATGCTTTCTGCCACACAACCTTTCTCAAGGCTTCAACCACTTTTACATACATTTTATAAGAAAAAGGAATAAATCTACTTGTCCAGCTTGGTAAACCTGAGAGAAAGAAGCTTTTTAAAGATTGTATTATTCCATTCTCTTCTCTAAATGAACATGAAAATCATTCATTTTGAGTTTTCACCTGGCAGTGTTGGCATGTATGATTTTGTAAATATTGCACTGGTTTGTGAGAAAGCGTAGATGTTTTAATTATGAAATTTAAAACAACAGACCTTCCTAGTGTTAAACTACATGAAGCTGTTTGCTACCAAGGTGCTCTTCTATAAACTCATGTAGGTGTGGCAGCTGGGCCTCTGCTCCTCGCAGCATCTCTGGACACTCTTACATCATGCTCCCCTCCCAGACTATGGAGCTGAGGATGTGCCGCCAATGACCCGCCACTGTCTGTTGTGAGAGGGGGAGCACAATGACACAGTAGTGGGGGACCCATTTCACAATAAAAGCTTCCTTTCATGCTATAGCACTGACCCACATACACTCCAGGCACGCATCGTTGGCTCCAGTAATTTCGCCAACACAGCTGGAGCAGTCTTTAGGGGGCCAGCGAGCGGCTGCCTTACAGTAAATGACTGCTGTAGAGAAAACTTCATCGAGGGGCACTGACTGTAACTGCCTACCCCTTTGGATGTAGAAATCTGGAGGAAAGCATTGAAGTAGTGACATTAACACGAGCAAGTTGTATGTCATAATAATTTCTGAATAATTATTTATAATAATAATTTCTGAACTCTTAGAGACAAATGTTGAAGGCAAAGAGGGACTATAGACTGAGCTTTAAAATGATTTACAGTTAAGAAACTGGAATCGTGCAAACATTGGTATAACTGCAAAGACAACTTCTAGATTCATTAAAAGTTATTCAGGATTACATTGAAAACAAAAAGCCGGGTCCAGTGGATTAAATGTATCTCACCCTGACAGCAACAGCTTCACCTCAGCAGCCAGTTTGTTCAGTTCCCTCCCAGAGGACAATCTCTGTGACAACAGAGTACGGTGAGAGGAGACTGTTTGCAGACTGCTGATCCATATTTCGAATGAGTCAAGACTAATCATGCATAATACAGTCAGCTGCACAAACGTGCTCTTTCCTGTCGCTCTATTTGTCAGGGAAAAGTGTACTGGCACGGATCGAAATAACAATCAAGCAGGAATTTTTTTAAAAGTAATTTAATACAGTATGAATACAATGGTTGTTCTTTTCTTATATGATGTAGTTAAACACGTGTACAACAACATTTCTTCATTTTTAACATTCTATTATCACAAAGAAGTCAACTTCTCTCTTGGCTGTGAAGGCAATAATAATGACCTGTTGCTACAGTGTGCGGGATTCTATGGAAGCCCATTTGTACCATGAAAAAACAAAAAACTAGATGGAAAGTTTGACATTATAAAATGAAAATACTCATGGTAATTAAAATTATAAAATTTTTTATAATTAAAAAGGAAATTATGAGTTAAAAAAAATTCACTTACTATGTCAAATTTGAGTGGTAGCCAATTAAAGGTCCAGTGTGTAATATTTAGGATGATCTATTGGCAGAAATGGAATATAATATTTATAGATATGTTTTCATTAGTGTATAATCACCAGAATATAAAAATTGTTGAGTCGTTTTTATCTACAGAGGGAACGGGTCCTCTACGACAGCTGTTGCTCTATCGCCATGTTTCTACACTTCATTAGTGTAATCCCTAGAGTTACTTTTCCCCTTTACACATTCATACTCTATATAAGAGAATCATAAATAAATGAATGCTTTAATCACATCAGGCCAAGCCTTTTCATTTACTATGCTTTTTAAAAGGATTACAGAACACAAATGTCAGCTACAATGACAGAACAAACCTGTCACCTTTTCTTTGTAGAATCTGATCTCTGTGATCAATCTGACTAAAGGCAAAGATGAGGATGGCACAAAGACAAACGCTGACATTTGTCACCCTGAAAACTTGCAGCTGTGTCAGTGCTGTGAAGGCCACATCTGTTCTCACCCAGCTTAAAAAAGTAATCTGCACTTCATTTTGTCCAGGCTGCGAGTCATTTTGAACTAAGGTGATGAGTTTAACTGCGAATGAGTAAAACAACATGGACATGGAGGATTACAAGTGACTTTGCCGGCCCTGTATTTTAGTCTCGCAGCCTGAGTGTACTGCATCCACCTTTCATACAGTCAGACACAAAGAAGCATAAAAATACATCATACACATAATAACATAACTCAATTTGTAATGACATTTGTAAACTCTTTGGTGTGTTGTGAAGCACATTCCAGTGACTCCCCTGAACTGATCTGACTTTAACTACTCAAAACAGCCACCCACAACCCCACCACTCCACCCCCAGTAACCCCACCAACCTTCGGTCATCCAACTGTCCTGCCAGCTGTCTATTTTAGATGACCACATAACACTCTCAAGCAATTACTGTCTGAGTGGTCTCCTGGAGTTCATCCAAAATATTCTCTCCTCAGGAGTTTTAGATAGTTGGAAAGTAAATGGCAGACTATTTGACATGATTTATGTGCAGGCTGAGATGCTTGAATAGGAAATGACTGGGGCCACAGTCTATTACACAGGGCACATACACAATAATCAGGGGTGGGTTTAGAAATGTGTGAATGGAGGGTTACATTGTTTATTAGCTGTAATGGATGCCAAATAACCAACTTTAAATATTCTAATATGAAACTATATCTATAAATAGGTGGTATTTGTAACTCAAAATAGACATCCATGGATGGACCCCTGGACACAGACAGGCAGCATGGTGGCTCAGTGGCTAGGAATTTTGCCTCACAGCAAGAATGTCCTGAGTTTGATTCCCTGCTGGTAGGGAATCCCCTCCAGGTGCTCTTCTTTCCTCCACCATCAAAATATGTATGTTCATTTCTGCAGTCAGTACTCTTGACCAAAGCTTGGCCACTGGCTTAGATCTGGACTTGGTCCCCCCGGGCGCTGCACAGTGGCTGACCACTGCTCCTAACACTTAAGATGTGTTAATCATAGGAAACAAACATAGGAGCAAGACACCTTGATCGAAAGTGACACAAAACAACTACAAACAATTCTTGCGTCTCTTTGTAGTTGTTTTACATGTCTTTATGTCCATGTTGTGTCTCTTTTAGTGTTATTCCACCAAATTAGTTCTGGTTCTTGGATTGGTTCTGTTCAAAATTCTTGGAACCTTGGTGCTATCTAATGAACCAGCCTGTGTTTCCAACAGTTTTTCCTCAATCTCACAATGCACACCAACCTGTAGAATATCACACACCCACTGTGGTTCCCAAGGAAAACCTGCTATTTTTCAGGTTCCAAACCAATTTATTATACAGCCCAAGACGGGCTGAAACCAACAATGTACCGGCTCTGTTCTGGTTCGGACAACTAGTTTGGAACCGTTTAGAGCGACCAAATTAAATAGGTTCAGAACCCAAAAACTTGCAAGGTTCGAGAACCAGAACTAATTTGGTGGAAAAGTGGTGTTTGTGGTTTGTCTACTTGGTCCAGGGGCCCTGGGCCTCCACCTGGTAGGCCTGTTCAGTAATCCATCCATGATACTTATAAGCCAGCTACCTGTCACATTCTGACTCTGTTGGGTGCCACACTTTAAGCTTTCTAGGCTTGGTAAAGGAATCCTTCAGTGAATGTCACTTCAACAGTATTCATTCAATCATTTATTGCTTTTTCCCACTAATGTGTACAGATTGCATTTGTGTGGGCTGTTTTACTGTCTCAAAAACAACTGTTGTGTCTAAAAAGCCAGTGGCATTTATGCTAAACCATATTTGTATTTACCCTGATACCATTGCCAGTGGTGTGTCTTCCAGGAAATACAGCCACCAAAGGTCTGACCTACTGGCCTGAGAGTTCCATGCTTCATTAACTGGTTTGTTATGGTGTGCTGTTCACTGAAACAACCTGTTGCTTTTTTACAAGGCTGCTGGTTATGTAATCTCTGTGAAGGCCAGGGTGACGTGTGAATGGATGAATTTGGTGAACAGATGGGTCTTTGACCAAGGAACAATTAATTAAATTGGGGTGGTGATTTTGATCTGGGATTTCCAGCACCAGATGATCATGTGTTTTCACTGAAACAAACAGAGATAAAAACTTGATTCAAAGCCACCAAATTCAAAGTGGATATTATGGTGAAAGAAAACACTAAAATGTTGTCCTTTGGGCAACAGGAAGTTTAAAGACCTGTCACTGTGGACTATGTATGAAAAATTGCCTGGAAACATGAGAGGTCATCCTATCCTGAGGTATTGACGAACCATTTATTCTAAGTTGTAACATACCAAAGTTATTATGGCGAGGTGTTGGCAAATGACTAAACCATCACTGCTTGTTCAATTAGAATGATTTACTGTCTTTCTATGGGAGGCTATTGATAGTGGAGGATGTACACAGTGAGTGTTAATTTCCCCGCTATTTTGAGACCATTAAAGAAGCTTGTAATGAGTTTAGTGTGACATGCCAGTACATGTGCTCCATTGTGACAGCAGGACACTGTCTCACATGCACTATACTCAGGAGTATTCTGTTTAGCTGCACTGTTTTGCTTTGCCTGCCTCAATCTATAGGCATAAAGCTACAAGAAATATATTTCGGATATACTTCAGAATTTAAACAAAAAAGTGTACACGAATGACATATTGGCTATTTTGCTAAAACAGTATTAGGAATTTTGTTTATTATGATATATATATATATTCATTGCTTTTGGAATTAATAGCTAAATTGTTGTTTATTTTATTGACGAGGTGGACTTATGTTGTCATAAATTACAGGGCAATTACATTTCGGAGTTGATATCTGTTAATTTAATCCAAATTTTGGAACTCGCTCGTTCCACAATTAACAAATATCACCACCTCTGATTTGCTTAAGGCGGTGATTGACGGCGCTCCTTGGCTCTCTCAACCAATGAGCGCAGACCATGGGCGGGCACGTCTGTACTGTAATCAATCCTCTGATCAACTCGCGAGCGTGTGTCCCTCCGTACGCTGTCCTGTGTGGTCGCTCTCCTAGAGTGTGAACCGCAGAGGTCCCGGCGGTGCGTATTTCCTCCAGAGAAAGTGCGACAAGAGGGGAGAAGAAGGAGGGACATGGGCGAAAGATTTGTGGTAGTCCCGGTTGACGGGCAAGTTGGGGTCGCCGGGCTGGGGGAGCACTCGGACGCGGTTGTATCTGACCCGGCACCGGACCCCAGCGGCAGCGGCAGCAGCAGCAGCAGCGGCGGTGGTGGTGGTGGTGGTAGCACAGTGGAGGAGAAAGAGGCGGGGGAGGACTCCGTGTTCGAGCCGCAGGACCCCAACGTTGTGGTGCCTATCCTAGAGTACAACCGAGAGCCCAACAAATACGGTAAGACAGCCGCCCGTTACAAACTCCGTGTCCCACTTCTTATCTCATCTGTCTACGAGAGGATTAGCCTTCACTTTGGCTCTGTCTGTGCTGCTGTAGTTATATGAAGCCCCCAAACACCGAAGCTGTGGTAAATAGACACACCTAGCGACATCAGCCACAAAAAGTTTCCAACACTGTTTTAAGGCATTCTTTAGTAAAGTTGTTGTCCTATATCATTTGTCAACAAACAGCCCGCAGGGAACATTGGCACTTAAGTTAGTTTTTTTGGACAGCGCTCTCGAAGGTTTAGCTAGCCTCAACAGCTCCTTTCTATCAAACGAAATTAGAATTAGCACCTAATTGAATTGGCGTTTTACATCCTCCTCTCTGCGCTCTTTACAGAACCACAGTTTCTTCTTTTATCGTGAGAGAGCAACTACAGTCAAGTGTTTGTTGTTTCCTAGCAGACAGGGAAGAATGGTAGCGTTAATTGAGGTGTCTCTGGCACTTGTTGTACCTTTCGAAATAATGGAGAGAAACCAAATTGAGTCTCGAACAATGGAGAGCCCAAAGTAAAGAAGAGAAACTCGAGGTAGGCTTAACAGATCTTGTTAAC